CTTTTATCATGTGTTTTATATGTACACGTAATAGATAATTGAATGTAATAATTATTTAATATTACTTAATACTAAGTAAGGGATAAGTCATAGGTCATTATTACTTACAAAATTACTTTGCCCATCTCTATTCCGGATGATTGTGAATAGGTAGTTACGATGAAAATATCCCGATCACTATATCAAGATCACGGGGTATTTTTATTACGAATATCTGAACCGGCTTCAAATATTCTTTTGTCCGACCCGACCCGAGACCAGGGTGGGTCGGGAAGATTGGTATAAATTTTATAGAGATTGGAACCGGATTTATTTTTCATATGTTAAAACCGATTAAAACCGGATTTAACATATGAAAAATAAAACCGATTCCAAACTCTAGTATAAATAAATCCCATAAATTTAATTTTTGTTAAATTTTCATTGCACAAGTCATACATACATTTTCTTTACTTCATTCAGTGGGAAACTTTACCTGTCAGTAGCATTGCTACTGCAGATAAATTTTTCTAACATGATGAATTATTGGGCGTACAACTTTTCTGATCTGAATTGATTAAAGAAAGCCCTGGCATGCAACAGCCGTTTCTGAGATAAATGAATGAAGTATTTATACGTAGAGATAATAAATGCACGAATAGATATTTTAGGAAAAATAAAAAAAATCACTTCAAATTTAAACCTTTATTAACATGTACTAGCATGTATTTAACACTCGAAATTTTAAATTTTAAAAATTAAAAATTAAGAATAAAGAGATTTGACGTATATTTTTACAGATAAATAAACCATCCAAAATATCTATTATATGGTTATTTAAACACCAACCTTAAAATATTGATTATGAGAAAGTAATGAGAAATCGAGATATTATGTAAACAGAATAAATGACCATACAAAATTGATATAAATTATTTATATTCTGAAGCATAGTTGCATCAAATTTTTTTTTTTTTTTACTCTAGTTAACATTGAAAAATTCACGGGTAGTGTTGGTACTTGAAGGCCACTGGAAGTAAAATTAATAGTGTCACTGGAACTTTTACTATTACAAAATCCCACTGGAAGGCTAGAAATTCCAAAAGTTGCCAACACTGTTCACGGGCTTATAGATTGAGATGAATTATCTGGAAGACCTGCATCAACATCGAACCCTATTCCTTTCGAACGTCTTTTTCTGTTCCATGCTCCGTCACCGTACATTGTGTCCCATTTTCTCAGCTCAGTCAAACTTGACATATCTTCTGAACAAGAAGGTGTCACTTGTTTAAGTGCAAGCTGAAAATGATGAGTTTTCAATACTCTAATTTCTGGGTGTTTGTCAACGGTCTTTTTCGTAATCCCTTTGACAAATGTGCTAGAATTTGCTTGCTCTTTTTCTGCATCCTCGCGGACGGCGGCAAGAGCAGCACTAATACATAAATTTTTTAAATCTGACCCGGAGTAAAGATTGGTTATTTTCGCTAAGTTTGCCAATGATATCGACGGATCAAGTTTCTCGTCACGAAGATGTAAATGAAGGATGTGTTCACGATCTTTCTCGGTAGGTAAATCAACTGTATATATTATGAAGATTTGTTATTCTTAAATGTTGTGCAAGGCAATGTTGGCCAACGACTCATTTTATTATTATTATTATTATTATTAAATATATTTTTAATAATATAGTCATATAACTCCTTGTAATATGTCATTTTAACTCTTTAAATCATTAAAAAATTAAAATTTTTTTACATTGAGCCATAAAGTCATTAATATTATACCAAATAACTTATGACTGGTGATGAAAGTCTCATATATAATTAAATGCCATTGACCAACATTGATTCCAATTCTTAAAAGCAATTTATATGTAATACCTAATATCCTTCTTGGCATTCTCCTTAAAATGGCATCATCCAAGTCAAATGGTCGATTGGTTGCACCCATAATCAGTACACCTTCATTACGAGACGTCAAACCATCCCATTCTGCCATGAATTGGTTGATGATTTCTCTATGTGCTCCGTTATGTATGTCTGATCTCCTGGATCCAAATATCGCATCAAGTTCGTCTAAAAATATCACACATGGTGATAGCTTACGGGCAAGAGAAAATATTGCCTATTAACAATAATAAGTCATATGAGTATTAATTAAGTGTACAATATTGCTCATAGACGTATCGTAACAAATATCCATACCCGAACATTCTTCTCACCTTCACCAACATACATATCGTATACATCGCTGGATTTAATTTCGATCACAGTGCTACCGCTTTCTTTGGCAACGGCTTTCGCCAACATAGTTTTACCAGTTCCAGGTGGCCCGAACAATAAAACCCCAGTTATAAAATGTCTTCTCAAGACTCCATAAGAGAATGATTGTGGTCGCATTAAAGGTAAGGTAATCAGCGTTTGAAGAGTTTGAACAGTGGATTGCGCAACATGTATGTCAGAAAATCCTACATAAATATTCTCTGCATTTAATGTAAAAATACTTGATGTTAGCACGTCCTCATTTACCAACAATTTCATGTAGATTCTTATCAAATTACCTGGATCTACCACGCAGCCTAAAAGTTTTTTTTCATATTTATCAAGGTCCTCTTTTCTCATGTTTTTTCGGTTTGATAAATTTATTTTACCATCCCCAATACCTACAATACTTACTAGCTTTTCTGGACCTTTATTTGTTACGTCATTATTAGATGAGGCTGACTCAACGAAATCTTTCCGTAGCTTTTGATTTGCTCTTAAAGTATTTGACGCCAAAATAAAATGTTCAACATCCAAATATATTTGATCATTCATTGTTAATAAATCTTGTCTTTCAAGAGATATTCCAATCGCATTCATTACAAGTCGGTGAACACGCTCAAATCCCCATACTTCATTATCCAAACCATCCAGTTGTGCAAGAAGACATCCCAACTCTTTAATATCGTTGATTTTGAAATAAGCACCCTTGCTAGCGCATACGGCTTTTAAAGTACGTACATTAATATGCCTTATAGCGACATTCTTATCCTCAGCAATCATGGTTTGCAGATGTTGAGCCAATACAGGTGACGACGGGGGAGGTATGGCTATATGAGTAAAGGCGGCTAACATTGCAGGATTCGGAAATATGTCAACGTTGACCCATTG